AGGTCTTGATACCTCCAGTGTAAATAATGCATATTCAGTTAGGTTTCTATAGGTGCCTTTCAGGAGAAAAAAAACAGACCTGAAGAAAGCAGGAGCTGGCAATGGCTGAACCTCACACTTCATAAGAAACAGAAAGTCCCGACATTTTTGTGATCTGGTAAAAATGATTCTCCTTAATATATATATGCTGCAAGGTAGGCACTAATCCAAACTAGCGCCTGGGCTCCCTCAACAGTCTCAGAAGAGGAAGAAATGTATCCAGAGCACATTATGTCCTGCCCTGAGACAGGTGATTCCCTCTGGTAACAGCAGACTAAGTAATGATGAATCCCATGGTGTAGATACATGTCCCATACAGAAGTCAAGGAAAGCTACGCAGAATTCAGTTTTAATTTATGAGGGAATTATCAGCAGAACATCTGGAGACATTCCTACAGAGTCATAGGGGTAGAAGATTAAAACAAGCGAGATATACAAAGTTACTGTGACAGGAAAAATGAAGTGGCTTTGTCACAAATGGCCATACTGCCATACCTGGTCAGAGGCATAAACTCAGTGAGGAACAGTCCAGACAGATATGTCTTTTGTTGACACAACCAATAGTAAACAGAAGGAGAGCTGGTGCACAAATCCTCTCTTAATACAATTAAAGCCTCTCCTGAAAGCAGAATTCCTTCTGAGAACTGGGCACTGGTCTTTGAACTATAATTCCTGAAAGAGTTATTATTCTACGTCCTGCAAGAAGGCCTGAGCTCTGCAGGGCAAGCTAAACAAATAGTATTAGGTACATCCTATACTCTGCAGAACTGCTTTCTCATCTAAAATTCTGAAGCATACCACCATTCAGTAGGGAGCGATAGCATATTTCATTAATTTTTGAATCTATTTCAATGACCCTGCAATCGGTGTGCCAGCCTGAAGCAAAGCATTATTTATCTATGTCTAAAATGCATTTTGAAAGATGGATAAAAGGGACAAGGCAACAATTACACACGTTTTATAGCAATCATGATTGCTATATCCAATGATTAATAAAGATATTGAAAATGATAGTGACAAAGATAATGATTAATATTCTAGTAACATTATTAATTTTCTAGTCCACATGACTATACATACATTCATCAAATATGTATTCAGTTCACTATGAATTAAGCTACCTGTCTTAAGCGGGACAATACAAACAACTGGAAAGAAAGGTGATGCTTCCCAACTCTTCAGTGACTGCCATTCCTCTAACAGCTGCCTTGCAGGGATATGCAGGGCAGCAGGCTCCAGTCATAGCCTGGCTCCAGGTAGCAGCACGGTGCAGAGACCAGGCCACAGCAATGGTGCCCATCCCCAGTGAGCATGGCCACTGGCTCCTGCTCTGCCACAACCTCCTTGGCTATTGGCTTTCACCACCATTTCTCCAGACAGCACTGCAGGGAAATTGAGTTGCAGAGCATGTTCAATTGCTGGGCTGCATCAAGGAAGAAGATTGCTATGTTGCAGCAGGCGTGTCTAAGGGGCTGTCCTGTGGGCTGATCCCCTGTACTGTTTCTCCTGTGGCCCATTTACAGTCTAGGTCATTTTCCCATTCACTGCTTCCTGACCAAAACAAATGCCCTCAACTTCAACTGGAGGCTCCAGACCATGTGTTTTTTGTTGCCCTTCCCTCGATGAGCAATATTTCCAATGAGAACAAGTTCCCACACACTTCTGTGATGTTGAGTTGGAGTCCTGTGGGGTGATACTCCTGGCCTGCTTCTGCCAGAACACTGCAGTTTTTCCATCTAAAGGTGTTTTTTAGTATAAAAACTCAAGTTTAGCATGTGGCTAAACTTGAATCAGAAGAAAGGATTAGGAAGGCAAAGGAATAATTATACATTAATTCAGTGAAGTTCTTGCTGTGAATATAAAAAAGTATGTCAGTAATCTGCATTGATTACTCAGAGAAAATTTAATATGTGAGTGCTGCATTATCTCTGCTGTGCACCTTTTTTTGTTGTGCTTGTACCAACGCATACTTTACAAAGATTAATATGCTCCCATCAAATCCACAGAGTTTTATGAAATCCATGGAAACATCTGGCAAGTACATATCAGATCTTTTTTCTGTGTGTTCCTAGCAAAAAGGTTAGCAGCCAGTGAACTACTCTTAAATGAGAGGGTGAAATGAAATGGATGTTTTATTGATGGAGCAAGGAGATTGCCAGGGATTCAAAATGTGAGGTTGTAAGATAATTTCAGATTGAGTGAAATATCTTCTCCCCTGACTTTTGAAACAGCAAGTAGGTATTGAAAGAGTTCATAAGGTAGAAAAGGATTGCTAAACAACTTCATAGTTTAAGAAGCGAATAAATGCCTTTAATAAACCTGGAATCCTTTGCATGTTTTCACTGACTTGACAGCATAATGATATGAGGCTTCATCTTACATAAAAAAGAGGGAAAGATGATTAATACAGCTTTGTTTGATTCTATCAAAATCTTTAATTAATTCCCCTCCTCTTTCCTTGAACTAATTGAACTTAGCAGTCATATTGGACCATACAACGTCCTATCCTATCCTAGTGAATTATTAGAAAGTGAGCTTAACTCAGCATCAAAATACCTATTGAGAGCCTGATCCATACAGTTTCTTTTGATACCAACTGCACTTGAATCAGATGCTGAGCCAGCTACAACTGGAAAGTTTGCCAGTGAGTGACTGGCATTATTTGACTGATGAAAATAGCAAGGTTTAGATATAGAAAATATTTAAGATACTTGAAGAAAAGCAGCTGATAGTTTCCCAGTATTCACTCTAATAAAGATCTGCTAATTGCAAAATGGGTTGAGGCAGTAACCCACTTTGCTGGGAAAAAAATGTTCGGAATGAGCAAAGTCTGTATCACAGACTTCAGTACACAGCACAAAAAATACTAGAGGTATAAGACACTTGGGAGGTTTACTTGGCAATGATGGTGAGTGTAACTGACAGCCCTCATGAAGGCAATTCACAGAATACCCATGTCTTTCATCCCTATTCTGGAAGAGCTGCACAGCTTCATGCTGACAAGCATTGCAATGAGCCATCTATCTTCAAAACCATCACACGAAGAAGATTTACAGCACATTCACAAAATCTAGCACTAATTTTTTGCAAGAATGTACAATGGATGACTGTTAAAGAACAGGCCTTGATCAGTCATTTGCCATGCTAGGAGGCGAGGTTATCTTCCAACAAGACACCTAGATGAATGAAAGATAAACATAACGTTGGATTTATGTGGTGAAACACAATTTTGTTCTGTTTAAATCAACTAGCTTGACAAATACCTTGCCCTCCTGAATCCTACTTGAAAATCCAAGAGCATATCCAACAAGGCAATTATCAACATCAAAAACAGTGAAGTCACAAAACACAGCCAAATGTTTTCATAAGTCTTGAAGCTCTGATTACTACGCCTGCACATCACCACTTGTATGTAAGCACAGAAACAGACTTATGTAAGCAGGAAAACTGTAAAACATCATTTTACCACAGGCTTCAACCAAGACCTGTGACTGTGAATGCACCTCCACAGTGTAGCCAGAAGAGTCATATATAAGCCCTAGCCATACCTGGGTCAGAACCTCTCTGCCTGGAGTCTCAGTCAACCAGAAGCCAGGTCAGCACAGTGCAGGAGAGAAGCTGGGGTAAGTCAACATCCCTTGTGGTTCAGATCCCTTTTTGCTCCCATTTCAGAGAGGGATTATGCAGATAAAGAATATTATGCATCAAAATGGAAACTACCATGGTAGTGACACCTTGTTAATCGAGGGGAGGGTAAGTAGGTAGAAAAGAAACAGATATTCTGAGCCAGGAAAGAGTGAAGAAAAATTAAGCAAGTGAACCTAGAAAGTAAAGTAAAAAAAGTAAAGTGCCCTTAAAAAGAAAACACCTCATTTAATAGTGATTGTAGTTATTGCTGCTCTAAATGTAGACTAAAAATGGAGAACTATGGACAAGTTGTTCACTTTTAATGAACGGGCACTGAAAACAACTCAACAGTTGTATAGGAAAAATTTTCTAGTCTCTCAGACTCTGAAAGTTGTTAGCTTCCATTCTCCCATATCCAAGAAAATTCCCAGGGTTACTTCATTGGTAGTAAAAGAAACAGAAGGAAAATAGTTGACCCAGCTGGTATGTGGTAAAGACTTGCACTCATCTCAGAAAAACTGTGTGATTTGCTCCTAAGGGCTGGCAGATAAGAATCTGGTCAAGGAGCACGATGCACATAGTCCAAAGCCTGACTACATCAGGACCCCAAGCCTCAAATATCTCAGAAAGCAAAATAAGGTCATTTCTTTGAGCATTCACCACTGGGCAACTTATACACATCTTTGTATGCCTGGGACCTCAGTGCAATAATTAGCACGTTTTCCTTTATTCAAACTGTGCCAGTTTGCACCTTAATCTAAGCCTCATTTACTAAAGGGAGAGATGTTAATGTGCATAACAGTCACTGCCAGAAAAACAGACTGCCCATTTTCTAAAAAAGGTGTGAGAAGATGATCTATACATTGAAAAATTTCTCATTTCCTACTTTTTCCCTAATTACCAACTCAATGAGTGCCCCTTTGTTTTTCAGGTCACTTTCCAATTATATATTACATGTTTCTTTCGTTCCACAACCTTTAATTCTTTTTCAGTGTTGCAGAATTAACTGGACAGGGTTCTTAATCTTGTCTCTACAATGAACTTGTTGTAATTGCAATGAATGCTTTCATTTTGCTGGCGTCTGAAATACGATTTGCAGGAGAAGGAGGGGTGCGGGTTGATGCTAGTCCCATCGTTAACGACATTCTTGCAGGGATTGTAGTGGTGGGAGTAAAAACCCCAAAGCTTTTATATAATAATGAGCATGTGTCTGCACGTGGACTACTCCTTTAAGAAGCCTTGGGCTGGTGGATGAAAGGGGACGCAAGGAAAAGGCAGCCCCACAGACATAGCAGAGGGCAGAGGTTAAATCTGTTGGCATTTTTATCACAAGAATGGTCACTTCACATCCTCTCCCTGAAGGCTTCACTGAAATAGAGGTGTTTGCCATCGGCACAGCCCTACTGGTAGAAGGTAAGCTCAGTTTGGGAACTCAGCAACAAATAATTAAGATTTTTGCCTCCGTTATTCCTGGAGTGCTGGATGGGAACTGAAGCAAATAGCAGCACTTGCAATGCACTGGCCCAGACCTGTGCTGGTTACTGTGTTTGCATTATCAGCGCTTCTGGTGGGCTGCCAGTTGTTTGCAGTGAAGATCTGCTCTGCATGCACAGCCTTACTGTGGTAGGGAAGTACTTTCCACTTAGATTTCTTATCAAGAATTTGGGATGCGAGAATATGCTGTTGACTTTTAAAGGCAATTTCATCTTCCTCAGGGGAAGGATGTTGAAATGACTGATGATCCCTCAATAAAATCAGGCTGCTTGTTTTGTTGGCTATATTTGTGATAGCTATTTTATAATCAAAAATGATAAATCCAAAATAGCCTGTAAACTGCTGCGTATATCCAAATTGCACTAGTGTCATGGAAATTAATGGTTGCTGGGTAAAAGTAACAAACAGAAATGAATGAGCACGAGGTTCAAAAACTTTCATGGCATTAAGAAGTAAAATCTGAAGTAGGAGGGACTATACTCATTTAACGAAGCCAGTATGGGCTTTTCTTAAGATGTTCCCCCTAGATAAGAGATGAACAGAACTGTCAGTTTGCATGTACCTGGCAGATAGAGAAGGACAATATGGCAGCTGGGAACACATCAGTGTGAGTCACTGGCCTCTGTTCGTAGCTGAATCCAGTCAGGGCCTGGGCCCCACTCCTGCATTTTGCTGCCCAGCCAGGAATACGGGGATCCTGGGGTCAAGCAACAGAGGAGAAGACATACAGATGAGTAGAATGGGACAAATGGTCATCAGCACACTCAGTGTATGTGCAGCATGGCAGAGGGAAGGATGCTCACCTTCTATTTGCAGGCAAGCTCAGCCGGAATGCAGCATCACATCTGCCTGCAAAGGAAAGCTGGAAGAGCTGTGCCAGAAATTCTTCCTTGGAAAAAGAGAAGAAAAAGCTTCTGCTACTAACCCAGGAGTCAGTTGCTGATTAAACACAGAATTAACAGCCATACCTGGCCAACAGCAATCAGGGCCTGATAGTTCCATGCATAAATTTGCCCTTCATTCCTGAGGAATGAGAAGCAACAGGAGGACAAGGATGCTGATGTGTGCTGGCACAGGCTAACAGACAGGCTCCTGTTAGGGTCTGGTCCCGGCAGCCCTGCCAGCCCCCACCTGGCACCCACAGGACAGGGACCTGCAGTTGCTCAAGCCCAAGCACAATACTCACTGACAACCTGCACTTACAGCTAGGAACAGTCTGGCACATTTACGTTTCACTGAAGACAAATGGCCATATGACTGCTTAATATTTTCTACGGGGTTTTAGGGTGAACATGCCCAGTGGGTTCACAGTAACACTTTATCTTTGCCATCTGACTATGAAGACTGAATAATTAAACATGAATTTACCTTCCCAGAGACTTTGAGAGAAAAGTGATGAAGTTTTTTTGCTGCAGCTTGTATATCCATTTGCAAAATGGGCAAATAGTGCCGAGAAACAGGAAAACTTTGCATTCACTTTTACTAATTGGACAGATCATCTGCTTTAAGAATAAAAACTCAAAAGTATGTGATGCTGGCCTTTAAGAAAGCAGCATGAGGTGAAGCCTAAAACATCCATAGAAAGAGGGGAAAAAACAAAGCTGATATAGTAATAGTTCTTCAGCACTACTGCAAATGCGATCCCAAAAAACCTCCCATAAAGGCTTGAGCACATTTGGGAGTGTTGGCAGCAGCGCTAACCCTGCAGGTGGGAGGTAAGCTGGCAGGGAAGAAATAAAACCTCACATGGCTCCAAATATTTCTCCTGGAAATATTGTGTTATCTGTTGTGTAATGAAAGACTCTCATCAGCTGTTACTATGGTTATGCCATCAGCCATTAATGTAATTAAAGCAGGAGCGGGATTTCTGACTACACAAAATTATCCATCTTATGTAACTGCAGAATTAAGACAATGAGCACAAGTAATAACACTACTTTAGAGAATTAAGGGATATGGATTTTTTTCTGTGCTACATTATTTCTCCTTCCAAGAAGAACACAAATTAAAAAGACATACTGCCTCTCGTCTAATTGAGCCTTAGAGAAGAGATGTTGAGTCAGAGACTCATCAGAGCTAAAATAATTCCGGCCATCTTGAAAAGGACATCAAAGGACAAAGTTTGAGTTTAAAGCAGTGAAGGATGGGGTTCAGGGCAGCACAGCCAAGTGAGTAGCTGGGGTTTCTTAAGAGCTCCTCTCTGACAATAAACATTAACTTATTTTTTTAAATCTATCAGTGACTGCTTTTTATAATAAGATTATTCCTTTCCATGTAAAGTCTATTGATGAAGGGCAGTAATAAGATTGAGCTGGTGTGATTCAAGCACCCTCTAGGTTAACCCTAGGCAGAATCCCAAAGGCTGACAAGGGATTTCTGTGCTGAAACACAAAAGCGTGTAACAATCTACATTAAACATGACCCATTTCCCTGCCACAGCCAGGTCTGGAGATGCGTGTGCCAGCAGTGTGTGCTGGCTGAGGCTCCCTGTGCAGCTGCCTCCTCTGCAGCTCCCTCCCTCTGACCCATGTATTCCTGGATGGAGCCTGGCAATCAGGTTTCTCCATTAAAGCAAAGCATAGAATTGCAAATAAAATTGAAGCATTTCTTCTCCGCATGAGCAGACACATCTCCAATGAGGATTGAAGCAGTAGCTTCAGCTGTCACCTGTGACTGAACGTCCATAACTTGCAAGCAAATTGCAAGCCCTTTGGATGTATTTACTGTCCTCGTAGACATTTTCCATTTCCAGTTGAGTCACATCAAACTGTTCTGGTTTTCAGCCCTGCTTGGTTTCTGTCTGAATGGCTTGACCATTATTTCATTCCGAAAAATCAAAGAACTCCGAACACCCAGCAACCTGCTGGTTCTCAGCATCGCACTGGCTGACTGCGGGATATGCATCAATGCATTCATTGCTGCCTTTTCCAGCTTCCTCAGGTATGTGCTCCCTTACTTCTACCAGGCAAGTAAAAAAGCAGACTTTACCACAGCCTCGTTAAAGAAACCATTTAACCAGAGAACTTTACTGGTAGTTATAACAGAAACTAACTGAACAGTGAAATAGTCTAACATTTGACTGAACATCCAGACGGACCTCAAATTTATCTGCAAGTCTTTCCACTGTTTATAATGAACTTTTTGACTAAATTTCTTCTTCTGGAAATCTGTGGAAAATGAAAATACAGAACAGTTCGCAGGGAGCTCAAATCAGTTATGAAATTTGATTTTCCACATTCTCATGTCAATCATTCAGTCACGACAGAAACTATATCAAGCATTTTTGTCAGTAATTGCAACCAACAAATTGCAACCATTTACATGAGACCATTTCATGTTTCTTCTTATTCTGTCTGCAAAAAATGTTTGGAAGCCTCAGCCTAACTGGAGTCTTTATAGTTATTGTGAGCTTCCGCTCTGCGTTGAACAGAGAGTTGACCTTCACAAGTTGACCAGTTTCTACGCCCACTGAGTGCAAAATGTTGCACTTATGGATAACTGAATGAAATGTAAATTTCAAACTAAAACAAATACCTTTCCAACACGTAAATGCAGGGTTATATTTTCTTCTCTATATTCAGGGCAAAAATAACTGCTGTAGTACACCAGACACCACAGAAAGGCAAATACAGATAAACACCTACAAGAGACCACAGTCAACTCCTCCACGGCATTTCTCAGACTTGAAAATGGGAGGAGATCACTTTCTCCCCTCCAACAATGCAACTTCTAAACGTGTCTTCACTTGTTCCAATAATTTTCTTAACACCCTGGTTGTTCGTTGACAGGTACTGGCCCTATGGCTCCGAGGGCTGTCAGATTCATGGATTCCAAGGTTTCTTGACAGCACTAGCCAGCATTAGCTCCAGTGCAGCAGTTGCCTGGGACCGGTATCATCACTACTGTACAAGTAAGGCTCTAACTTACCGACCAGTTTTACCTGTATCATGTTAAAAACCAGCTTGTATAGATTTCAGAGAAGCCAAGCAGGCACATACTTATTCTTCTGTGTATCTTTTATGTATAAAGGAATTCTGTCTCCGAGGGACACCTTTCCACTAACCAACCACTAACCAGACACTTTCAGGAACATTTCGCTCTTCCAGATCACATCTAAATACCAACTCTCTTGTCATGCTTTCACATCCTCCATAACTAACCATCAGGGTCCCAAACAAAATCCAGCACCTCAGAGAGAAATCTATGCACCTTGGGCTTCCATCCAAAACCCTGTTTTGTACCAAACAGAGCTTCATGCCCATGCAGAGTTTACTAATTACAGAATGTCAGTGTAGTTACAGAGCTGGCTCTGAACAAACAGCAACTGGCACAGAGCCCACAGCAAAGGCACGATGGGGCAAACAGCACAGCAACCCAATTGCACAGTGCACAGGAACTATGGGGCATGAGCTTCTTCTGGGTTTGTGCTGCATTCCAGACCCCCTTACAAAGGCTGAAATGCACTGCATTTGTCACCAAGCAAAGAATAAATAATCTGCAAATTTTGGTAAAAGCAAAGTCAAGTCATTCAGGAGGAATGTTATTTTCCTTCTCTTAGTGAAGGATGTTTTTTGTTTTTCTTAACAATGTAGTTGTTAACTATCTCTGACACTCTAGAGCTGGAGTTTATGGAAATCTAATATTAGACAGGGAGGCTGACACAGGAAAATAAATTTGCCTTTTTTGCACACTTATGAAAGCATCATTTTGAGTTAGATGAAAAATGAGACTTTACAGGAATGTCAGATGTATGGATCTATAGAGATAGGCACAGTCTTTTGTCACTGAACTATCTCCCAAACATTGGTGGTGTTGGATTTGTGAGAGAAAAATTCTGCTGAATAATGGTGCTGAGATGGTTCGGTGTCCACAGAGACCATTGAATTTGTGCTAGCACACCAGCTGTGCTCCAGCCATGACTGCAGTTAGGGAGAACTGGGAAATTAGCGTATGTTCTTAGCATGGAAGTCAGGAAACACAAGTATGTGCATTGTCGTCTGCTGTAAAGCCAACCAGAGCAATCTTGTGAGCACTGGCACCAACAAATCTTGCTTTCTTATGCATATGGCACTCAGGGATGATGCTCGCCTTTGTCCACTAAGATAGACTTGTGGTGGCTGCTCCAGGGGCCTCACCTCCCCCAGACACCAACCATCACAGTAAATGCATCAGCTTGGTACCTGCTAGTCTACGCTCTCTCATTTTGCTCTAGTCAGTTAGTATTTCAGAAGTTAGTACGAAAAGACAGAGACGAAGCAGAGGGTGTGCAATGTTTTCATCTGGAAAAGGGAAAGAAATGTGACATTAAACACAAACTTCCTCTGAAAGCAAATTCTAACACTCTGTAATGCCAGGAACGCCCCAGCCCCTGCTATTTGGCCACTCTAGCAGTGGTGTGGGAGCTCTGCCAGCTGGGAGAAATGACAGAGAGCCTCCATGCAGGCCTGCAGCTTCCCCCTCTCCTGCTGCAGCTGGGTGCCTTCCAGACAAATGAGGAGCCTGGAGTACCCCCACATGAGCACACCATTCCCAAAAACACTGTGTCCTCTTGTCAGCACTAATAGAAAATGGCAGCCCTCCTTTCCTTGTGCTAAAGCACAAGATGTCCAGATCACTCCATATAAAATGTCCTAAATCAAAGTTTAAAAGCTGGCCAGGGAAGAGACTGCTGAGTTGTAGCACTTCAGTGCCACCTTTAACATTCATACAGCCATTCCGGCACAGCCTCTATATGATTAGAACAGAGAGTGTTAAAACAAACCCAGAGCACACAGTGAACATGGCTGACTGGGTGATATGATTGAGGGCACAAAGGTTGCCAAATTTTTGTTCTGAAACTTTTGTCAAGGACTCATCTCAGGCAAAGAAATGGCATTTTTTCACATCCAGACAAAGGCCCCAAATAATGTAGGCTGCAAGCTGCATCCATACCAACACCCCCTGGACAGTAAAATGCATTTGGAGCGAGAAGAGTGGCATCTGTACATTATAAGAGAGCAAGCTTGAAAAACAAGCGTATCTTTGGGAAGATATTTTACTCTCTGCAACATTGACTTTAATGCTTTAGTGCCGTGCACTCCTCCAGCCAAGAGCATTGTACATTAAGGGCACAGACAGATATACCCTAAGGGCACAAACTTCTTCACTTTGCTCAAATAGTTATGTACTGATGACCAAACAGCTGCTGTTACTGGGCATTTTGAACCAAAAAAAGCAAAACAAGAACAGGTGTTCTTAAGAGCTTATTCTCTTTGGCTGTTCCAGTAAAACCAGCCAGTTCCCAGTTTCATCTATCACATGCTGAGCATGAGAATGATTAAATCTTATTTCATAGGCCTGACGTACCAAGCCTACAGGCTATGCTGTGTTCTCAATCCATATATTAAACCCCTGTTGACACTCACGAGGGTTGCATGCCTGTACAGAAGGTACAAAGCACCTTTGGCTAAAAAATAATGCTATCAACCTTTTATCTTCATCTTGGGAACTAATACTCTTCCCAGATTCGCTTACACCATCCTTCATGTTTTTATGTCCTAAGAGTTTCCAAGAACACTTCTATTACAGCATTCCTCAAGCAGACACTCAATTATCAAGAATCAATTTTTTTGAGGAAGAACATACCGATGAGAACATGAGAGCTTACGATGATGAGGAGGAAAAATAAACAGATCTTCCATCCATTCTGGATGCTAATAACACGAATCAAAACATCCTGATGATTTCACACTAGCGTTTAAGAATTAGGGGGAAAAGGAAAGTCTGAAGTGATTTGTCAGTGCTTTTCTCAGTAATACAACAGAAAAGAACAAAATCAGCGGGGATTTCACAGCAACATTCAATTAGAACAAGTAGGGCTGCAGAGTTTGTATCTAATCCTTAACGTACAAAGAAATCTGGGTTGTGATATCAGTTTGGGAAGATTAGCAAACTACCATTTGCTCCAATTGCAGCTGTCAGCTCAGCCAGATTAGGGGCAAGTCCTCACCTCCTGTCACATTGCGGCAGCCACCCTGTCACACGCTCTCCATCTAGTCATGCTCCTCCATCCGTTTGCAAGATGAAACACCAGCCTTTATACAGCTCTTGCATTTTTACTGAAGCAGGATGTAATTACCAAGACGGCTTTATGGTCATAGAAGACTGCAGGGAAAAAAAAAAAAAAAAAGGGAATAAAAATATCCCATTTCTTAGGTTATTTTAAAGAGCATTTTTTCCTAATGGCTTTTTTTTTTTTTTTTTTTCTATGCACAACAGAAGCCATTACATAGTGCAGTTTTCTTATCCCTACAAAAATATGGATATTGTGTTCTCCAGTCTCTGCTACTTTTCCCACTGCACCGGTGCCTATTTTATTTTGGACTGATATACATCATTCTCAACAAGACATTTCCAGATATTATTTGTCTTTGACAAACTTTACCAATTTTAATTGATATGCGCCATTCGTAAGCCTGGGATGAGCTGGACTGTTCTGGAATATTTCAGCTGTTACAACGCTTTGTCCCTTCCACTTTAGAAAATCCTGTTGACCTTTAGTTTGACAAATTCCTTTTGAATATCAGCCTGAAATCCAGTTGAAAGGTAGCCACTGTGTCACAGATATATTTTTTGCTCTTTCTGTGAAAATCAGCTTTATATTTAGCCAATTTATAAATCTTCCAGAGATCTAAATTCACAAACGTTTCCACAGATAACAGTTTACAATTGCACCACTAAAGACTAGCTAGCATTATTAGAAGTGTTAAGATTCCATGCTCTACCTAGTGCTTTCTGAAATAAAAGCTTCAGACATTACAATTTTAGTACTCTTTTAACAATTTAGTTTTGTTTGTGATCATGAACTCATTCTATTCCAAAGTAATCTTACAGAAGACCTATAAAATTCCCCATGTTCACGTCTCTCTGTTTGAAAAGGAAAAGTTTCCCTCTTTCTCTTTGACGGGCCAGAGCACAGGAGTGATTAGGCTTAATGAGACCAGACTGCCAGCACTGGGCTCTAATTAAGAAGAATTTCTTTGAGCGTATGCTGAACTCCATATATACACATCTAACTGAATTAGGACCTACATGGCTATTACGATAAGTTACACCAGTCCACAGAAGGCATTTAAGGTGAAGCAATGGCCTGCTCAGTATGACAGCAACTGAACTGCTTTCAGCTTGTTGATGCACTTTGGCCTCTGAGAGGACGTTATGGCCATGTGCATTGAGGGCTGTTCTTTCAGCAATCTTGCTTTTTTTCCTGAGTTTCCAGCAAAGCATACTACCGAAAACTGAAACAATTTGTTTAACATCCCTTGGGGCCAGAGGAAAGACATGCAACTGGCACCAGGACTGGCAGCCGACGTAGCAGCAGCTGGCAGGCGAGAGCTTCCCCTGCTGTTCTGTGCACAATGACAGCACGTGCAACTTGCAGCACCCCACATATCCGTGCATGCAGCTGGATCACTCACCCCCATCAGTGCAGATACTCATGAGCTGCCTTCAGTATTTTACCAATACTGCTCAAGTGGCAAATTTCATCCATGCAAAGATCTTTTTCTTACATGCAGAGATCTGTAATCCATCCATCTTCATATCGTAGTAGTCTGCAAAATTAAAGGATGGAGAGCAAAGAGAGCAAAGTTTCTGCTGCAAGATATCATGAAAAACAATTGCTATCAACTACTTTATAGGAAAAATGAACAAACAAAAAAGAACAAGCAACGTTTAGTTTGTGTGATGTTTTGTTTGCTTGTTTGGTTCTTTTTCCAGATTATCAGGAGAACTTACCATTTACAAAACTATATTCCCAAAACAATAATGCTACTTTTGTCATGAGTGTGATGTAAAGGAAATACAATTTAGATCTAGGTTTCACTGCAGCTGCTCTTGGTAATGCCTTTTTAAAACATGCTAGAATGTATAAAAGACAAAGCAAACCTGACAGCTTGTGTAATAAGCTGCGTCCTGATTGAATTTCAAGTTACAATTGCTTAAAGCCAAGCTACAAGAAGGATGATGCTGTAGAACACAAATGGAAATGGAAGCTCTGGATCAGTAACAACACTAACATGCTTTCTTGAACATATACTTGGGAAGGAGGTAGCTCTGAACAGATATAATATATGCTACATTGCTGCTTTGAATTGGAAGGTTAAGAATAATTACAGTAATTTCTAACATGCTTGACTCAAATTTCTAGTCCTTAAATCACAAGGTATTCCTTTTTTTTTCTCCCCCATTGATGTAATCTATAGCTATATTAATGTCAGTATAACTATAAATGATTTGAGCCTTTGTAGCTGAAGTACATTGTCTTTGTGGGAATCATACAAAAGACAGGTATTAATCATTATTAATCATCAATAATAATTATAACAAAGAATGTCTAAAATGACTAAAAACATCAATGGATTTTTTGCTACCTACCATATTAAAACAAAGTATTTAATAAAAATGATTTATTTTTCCCTTAGTATTTGAATTGCAACGTGTACCCCTTTGTTTCCCAGAACTCATTTTTGAACATTTGCAGCAAACAATTTCTTCAAGCCATTCAAACTCTTCCCTCGAGAACTACTGAAAGATGAGAATCATAGAATCACCATTCCTATGAATTGGGAATTTCACTGACACACCTTACTACTATCCTTCCTTAAACCAAAGGAGGGCAGCACAATCCAAAATAGCTACTGTGGAGTTTGTGGTCCTTCCTGAGGCATCAATCCTTATGGTATTCAGCAGCCTTCAGCAGGCAATCCTGGCAGGCTCTTCACCCATAAGTCTGCCCTGTACACCTGGTAGGAGGGCTCACCTCCTGCTCACGTCCCACCTCCAGTCCCTCACCTTCTCAATGAAGGTCAGAGTTGCCCTGAATCCTGCTGGCCTGCTGGCGTGATGCCACTGTCAAGAGCAAAGGAGAAGACTGCTTCCCAGGCTGAGTGAAAATTGCATCATTACTTCCCTCTAATGGGAGATTTGATTAGAAAGGAGTAGTGGGCAAAGTAGTACAGCTGGCGTCATGGGCAATTCAGTCCAGGCATGATTGTGGACGTCAGCCCTGGTAACCAAATTATCCAGGCCTCCTTACATGCAGGCAGCGTGACTAACACAATGTTCTGCTCAGCAGGGAAGCCTGCCTGCCTTCTCCATGAAGAAATGCTTCCTGCACCTTATAAAGCTCCCAGTCTTTTATTTCATTCATTTACTTATTCTAGTGGTGCCTTATGGAACTAGATGAGATAGGCACAAGTGAGTGTTTCTATTATAAAATTAGAAAGAAAAAAAATAATGACCTTGAGCTTCTCATTTCCTGTTGTAAGCAAAGCAACGATCTTAAGTAATCTCAAAGTAATTTGACTAGTAGTATTTTAGAACAGGATCTGTTGTCAAGTTAAGTGCATATATTCATATATATGCCAATAACTATCATTTTTAGAACAATGTACGTTGAATAGCCACGTGTCCACCCCTCAGGTCCAGGCAGGAAGGAAGCATCAGGCGTCAGGTTCACAGTCACAGCCCTGAGCTGACCCACACCCTGCAGCAGAGCTCTAGTTCTTCAAGCACTATTTATTGTGTTGCCTCATGCCTTCTGCTCTTTGCCCCCCCTGAGTCTTCAAACACATTCCCAAAACACAAGAATATAGTTTGTTAACAGCAGCTGTATCTCAAGCACGGTACAAAGCTGAGCAGCAATATAGCATTTGGGTAAGGCATGTTGAAAAAGTACTGTTTGTTATTCCTAAAGTCAGAAACTTCCCTCAGCTTTTACACAAGATAGATATCGCTGGACTTTGGTCAGCTTCAAGCTACAGAACACAGAACTGCTTGTTTCTGTCTCAGGCCTGGAGGCCAGGACTCTTTGCTCTGACCACACAGCCCAAGAGCTTTGCCCAGAGATTTTGTGTCAGGCATGCAGATCTCCTTCTTCTTTTCCTGCAGGGAGCAAGCTGCAGTGGAGCACGGCCATCTCCATGATGGTGTTTGCGTGGCTGTTTGCTGCCTTCTGGGCCACTATGCCCTTGCTGGGCTGGGGGGAGTATGACTACGAGCCCCTCCGAACCTGCTGCACCCTGGACTACAGCAAAGGGGACAGGTGAGGATGAGCCCATCTCTCATGGGAGAGCAGAGCCTAGCTGTCACCTACCTACTGTGGTGCTGGGATAAGATATGCACAGCCCAAGGCTGCCTCCTGTACACAGGGATGGCCAAAGCCAGCTTCCTCCACAGGAAAAGCTGGCACTGGGATTTCTGCCACTCCCTTGCTCATTAGTCATATGCTGCATCTTTTGGGGGTTTAGGACTTGAAACACTTTATGGTACTTCTTTATGCAGTCTAGGCCTGATGTCCTAATAAGGATGCCTGGGGTTAGCAACCAAACGCCTGCTGTGACTGCAATACTGTCCATCCCACATGCAACAGCACAACACAACTTTAGAAAATTTTAAGCCTAAAAGCAAGCTAACAAAAGTGGTTTAGGCAATTTTTAAAAAACAGATTAATTAATAAATGCAGAAAGTTTACAGAGATGCACAAAAGAGAAATTAACCACCTCTTTTTTCCCTCCTCACCCTCTCCAGAAATTATATCACATTCCTTTTTGCCCTGTCCATTTTCAATTTCATGATCCCGGGCTTCATCATGATGACAGCCTATCAGTCCATACACCAGAAGTTCAAGAAAAGCGGGCACTATAAGGTAAGAAAGCTTCCTCTGCCACTGCAACTGCCTTGCCAAAATAGGGCTGCATCCAGCAGGGTGAAAGCCTTCAGAAATCCAGTTTCTTCTACAGAGGCTTTGGCTCAGCTCCTTCTGAACTATCTCATCACTTCATGCTGCTCTGAGCAGGAGGGTAGCATGGAAATCCCATTCTCAGTCTCAATTTTTGACTGGACACAGCCACATCTCCCCCAATCCAATGGGGAAAACCCCTCAGAGGAAGCAGTTGGAGTAGATGGCTCCAAGGATTCCCCTCCGCCACCATTCCAGTTCTAGTCACAAAACTGACACACAGCACACAGTATCTGCTAATAGCACCACCCAGAGAAAATCTGCTCAGGAAGGATCATTGTTTCTAGTTTTGCAACAGGTTCATAGCTGACAGCCCTGGAAGAACCACACCACCACAAGGAAACAGAGATGTGTGGTGCAGGGGAGAGAAGAACTTTCCTAAGCACACCACATTTACACTCGGCTGAGGAAATTCAGAAATTTCCATGAGCTGGGAAAAATGAAACTGCTCAGGAGTGGTGGGTTTATGGGAATGTAACGTGGTGATTCTGCCAGCTGTTCTTTTAGATTTGGGGTGCTATGAGTTGATGTTGTGTGCATCCCAATCCTTGCACTTTGTAAGGACTGTCACTTCTCAAGGGCGATGTGCAGAAACAGTCAGGCAGACTGGTCTGTAGCAATCCGGAATACATACAGATGTATGCCCTCTCCATATTTCTCAAACAAATGTTGGTTTTCACTATTATGAATCTTTTCTTTCCAGTGAGTTTTTGCAATAGCTTGTAATTTTTCCTATACCACTTCATAGCAATGAATTGAAGCAAAGTAATTACAGTGGTGAAAATTTGTAATCTAAGTGTGAAAATACCACCTCCCTATTCATCAATATTTGTGATGCTTTCAGAGTTTGCCTGCCTTCGAGAAGTCTGCCAAAAATCACTTCATCTGTTTTCAGAAGCATGCATTGCCCTTCCCCTTTGCAGTATTACTGACTGCACGCAGCACATACACTGATGTCGCAGGCCAAGCTCAAGGTGCTTCATCTCCTCTGCCCAGGAAGGACTGTTCACCCCAGCCCCACATCAGGTGCAGGGCTTCAGGCTCACTGTGCAGGCAGCCCTCAGCACAAAGGGGGCTGTGTTCACAGGCCTCCAACACTGACGGCTACGGCACTCTGCTGGGCAGTGCTCTCCTGCTACTGGGCATGGCCTCAAGGATCTTTCCTATCTGCCTGTTGCAGTGTGAGGTTGTGAGACAAAAACAAAGACTGTGTTGCTCTTGTTTTTCAGTTTAACACTGGCTTACCTTTGAAGACGCTGGTCATTTGCTGGGGTCCCTACTGCCTTCTATGTTTCTATGCAGCAGTTGAAAACGTGATGTTCATTTCACCAAAATACCGAATGGTATGTCTGTGGCACCTGGAGGAACTCTCACACATTCCTTTCACATTCTCCCCTCCATTCCCAAGGAAAAATACCAACCTAAACACTAACAGTCCTATTTGATATAACATCTGTTACGAGTAGATTGTTTACATGAAACCACCTATTCGTCTACCATTTTTAAGGCAAAATAGTTTAGCACAGCAATACAGCAGACATTATAACTACTGCTTAGATCAAGCTGAATTTGAGGATTATGCTTTTTTGTTGTGTGTTTTTCTTCAGTAGTCAGTGCAGAATCGCAGCCTGCACTGCTTCGTGGTAGTGGGTGTGGAGGCGATGGGTTGATGATCTCAGTGGTCTTTTCCAACCCAAATGATTCTGTGGTTTGGAGAAGCATTTTGTGTCCTGTCCACAGTGAAGTACCACCTCAGAGTTTTCAGTTTTGAAGAGACTGCTTGTCCCATTCATTTTCCCTCATCCTCCTCTCCTAAGAGAGGCTGAAACTCTTGAAGTTACGTTTCCTTTTTCCTATGAGCCTCAGTTCTGAGGTGCCTCCAGGACTCACTGATATTACAACGTGCCTCTCAGCTTCCATTCATTCATCAGCCCACTTTCAGATCAGTAAAAGCGTTACTGTATGTAGGTACTTAGCGTCCTACAAAGTATGTTAGCAATACTAGCCCGCTTACTCATACAAAGGTGTCCATGGCATACCCTCCACACCTCATGTTCAAGCTCTGCTGAAATATCCTAGTTTTGGGTGATGCTGATCTAACTTTCCTTTCCTGGAGATTGTCCTTTCCTAAGTAAGAGGCCTCAGCTGAACAAATTGCTTTCATCTTTCTCATCATTCCAGAGTAGCAAGCTGCTGCCGTCGGGGAAAGGTATTTGCTTGACAGAGGGAAACTGAGCCCAGACTAAAATCTGCCCACTGGCTCATCTGCACATTTTTCTATCGTGTCTCCCTACAGATTCCTGCCATTATTGCCAAGACGGTGCCAACCGTGGACAGCTTTGTGTATGCCTTGGGCAATGAGAACTACAGAGGAGGAATATGGCAGTTCCTCACAGGACAGAAGATTGAGAAAGCAGAGGTTGATAACAAAACTAAGTAACCCATTACAACCTCAAGCCACATTAATGCAGGTACACCAGTGAAAGCAACGCAGTAGAGGAAGACATGTACACTGTGGTATGTACATGCAAAGGTGATTCCACGTTGAAAAGGCTGTGCACTGACTACAAGCAATGAAAGAAAGCCCCATGGATTACTGTTGAAACCATCATGAGCTGCTTGTCAAACAAGCTGCCACAAACCTGTCTTGATTGTCATCAGTCTCATTTTATATGTCACTGCAAATAAACTGTACGCTGGAAAACATTTTTTTTTCTCCTGATAGCCTAACATAAAAGCTCAGCAAATTAACTGAAGTAGGGTATTCATTTACACAGTGAAGCCTCCCCAAACCAAACTGCAGTTTGCCCATACAGTGATGCTTGAACTACTAGAAGATTAGAGAATCCAGAATTATGCCACATGTCTGTATTAATAGCTTATCCATCTGAACAATGCATTTTCTATGCACTCAAAATGAGAGTTTCCAAACTTCCATAATGAATCTGCCATCCTAATTCCATTAAAACATGTTAGTGGACATTTTGCTCCAGTAAGGAATATTAGCTTGGCTCCCATTCAGATGAATTAGTGTGACACTGAGCTGTGTCACACACTAAGCTGCATCAGATTTTGCAGTTGCTGCTTACCAGGACAATCAACAATCCCACAGTCCATCATCAAAACATTCATATTTTATCAAACACTGAGCAAAACTAAGGGGAGGTATGGATCAGATTGACAGAGCAGTAAATACTATTATGACAAGATTATTCAGAATAGTCACATACTCGGTTGACAGCTAAGACCTGTATCTCAGGTACACATAATATTAAACAAGCAGATGACAAAATACGGTCACAAAGATTAAGATTAAATATGCATCTATACTGACAGACTCTGAATGTGTAATTATCTCTTTCTCAGGAGAGAGACCTATGCAGGTCTTGAAATAATCTTGCCAGCAGGGTCATACTGATAAATCCCAGCAGAATGCTAAAAACCACTAGAAATGAATAGGAAACAAAAAAAGACACAACCTCACATTACTTGAAAGCCACTCTGCTCAGATTTGTTGGAAAAGATGCACAGTTTGGGTCATTTCAACTCACAGAGGGAACAGAAAAGCTAGAAAAGGGCTACAGATATGATCAAATGTAAGAGGATCCCCCATACAATGGATGAGATAGGGGAGAGGGCTGGCTTAGAGGACATAGCTGGTGATGAGCATACTCCTACAAGAGAGCAAATGATGTTGCTCATATATTGGATCATAGATAATCCAACTCTCTAGAGAAGAGAGAAAGAAAAGGATGGAAATATAAGCTTCCAGGAATAAGGCACCAAGGTAAAAAATCCTTTTCTAGATATAAACTAGTTCTCAACATTAATTTATCAGAATTAAGCAGAACTGTCTGAAGACCACTAATAAATGCCCCAACCAGCATGCTGTTCCCTTCAGAAAAGTGTCTGAAAGCAAGCCGCAGTACAGCAAGAAGTCTCACACAGACTTCCAATTGACTACACATTAATTCTTACAGCCTTCACCACAACAGTGCCTCCCTGGTAGTCTCCAGCACTCTGGTCACCCCGATCCTGACGATAAGAAACAGTTATTACCCTGAAGAAACCTATCACTTCAAGGTCCAATTCATTACTGAACCACTCTACTCTTCTTATTACTGACAGCCTGCTTCTGCTAAATTTGCTCCTTTGAGTCAGACGAGTCAGTGTTTTGATGCTCTGGTGAGAAACAGACTTCTTTAGATGAAGTAGAAAACATTTTTCCTTCTTACCACTAGCAGAAACAGCATAATTTCTTCAGGTTTTCTTACAGCACAGAAAGATTCACCTTAAATAGCAACTCTTACAGTTCTATTTTCAAATCCTATTAAACTCCCACAACTCCAAATGAAGTTTCTGTGTACTCAATAACACTGCAAATCAAGGTCTTGCTGACTCAGCTTTCCTGCACTACCCACGTTACAGCTACCCTACAGTTCAATAAAAGGAAGTTGAGTTTTTCTGCAGCACACATTCTTCATGTGCTCTATATACTTTCCGATGTATACTTCCTAGCACCTCTTATACATCCGATCAGGGCATTAAAAAGTGGTTTAGAAACTGGGTCAGAGGAAGAATTTGCACTGTTCCTAGCCTACCATCATCTCTCTTTGGAATTCATTACTGTGAAGAAGGGGAGTGAGTTATTTTTGTCAGGCTGAGGAAAAAGAACTGCCAAATGCCTAAATACACATTCAGCACTCAGCTGCTAGTGACTGGTTTGTTTCCAGCAGCCTCATTATGGGGATTAAAAGCATAGTGTAGGATTCCAATGATATGATGACAGAAAGTATTAGTCAAGTATTTACCCTTCCCATTGTGTCTCACTAAAGTTTCTGTTCACATTTCACCCACAGAGATGGCTGAGCGGAGGCTCACAGCCCAGCCTGTGCTACTGAGAGTTTGCATTTCAGAGGCAAACTACAAAATATAGTTGGTAACATGGACGTCGTGTACATATTCACAGTTAGAGATTATCCATCAGAAGATTATCATCAAGTTCTGTATGAACTACCACAGGAAGAACACAATCAACAGTCAGAATGTACTTTGTTACAGGCATTCTCTGCAGAGAAAACTGGGGCATGGGTATGTTGCATCAAGATAAAATAAAATCATGATTTCCTCAGTAGTGAACACACATATCCTATTTATTTTTGGTGTTGTATAGAAATTTGCTAGTGTGCCATAATATCTTCTATAATATTAGAAGAAAAAAAAAAGAATTTAAACATTTTTAAGAGATCTGATTTGGATACAAGTTTGAAAGACTGTTAAGATTGTACATGCAAGGCTTCTAGGTTTTTTGATGAGTTTGGGGTTTTTTTGTTCGAATGGTTTTTAAGTTTAAACATATTAACACATCTTTGGATTACCATAGGCAGGATTTTTTTTTCTTGTGAAAGTCACATGTTAAATTTTTAAAATCAGGCTTCATCCAGACTATGACATCAGATTATAGATCTGTCAGAAGAGGAGGGCTGGAGTTCACTGAATTCACTGTGCTGAGCTGCAGAATTTCCTTATTTCAAAAGAAGGAAAGCTTATTTTAAAGAAAAGACTGAAATGATGGAAATGATGATTTATTTACTTATGAAAATGAAAAGAGAAAATGGCATATTTGGAAGCAGAGAGCAAGCTTTCAGGTCTTAACAGTAAGAGCGATAAGTTTTTGACGAATTTTACCACTTAGCAGTGAAAAATCATATCCTGCAGACAACAGCTGGAGAGCTCTAACTGCTGCACAAGTCTCTATGAGTTTGGTTTGCTGTTTGGGGAATAGCAAGATAACAGATTTTTTCCTTCATGGTGTTCAATGATTTGTGTCAACTGCTCGGAGATGGGGGGCATGCTGTCACTACGCAAGGAGATACTACAGCATCATTCTTCATTTCTCTCCCTGAAAGAATGACCCATCATTAAAATACAGGTAGCTTCACAGGTGAATCGTGTTACATCAGATGAGAAGTCATGGGGCTGAAAAGCACCTATACGAGCAAAGATGCTATTAACTACAGATGGAAAAGGAAAAACGATGTCAAATGAATAGAGAAGGCACAAAATCAATGCTTTGAGGGCAGTATCTGTCAGCTCCCTCACTATTCAAAGTCAGTTGGAATCTTAAAGTTAATTGACACTTAGTAGTTAAACTTCCAACCCAGCAACACATTGACTGGCAGCACATCCCAAATCTCTTGCTGAAACAGCACCTTTAATGCATGGATCTAACATATTCCTCAGAGAGCAATGCAAGCTTCCATTCACTGAAAAGGTCTCATCTTTCTTGAAACAGATTAAAAAAATTTTAATGGGTAACACAGATTAAAAAATCTTAATGAGGTAACACAGTGAACTGATTTACTGAGTCTCTTACAAAGAGACACTTGACATGCATTATGTCCAGTGCCTGGAGGATAGCCCCCAGGGCCATACATAAGTTCTCCCCTAACAGTGGGAACACATGAAATAAGGAAAACCATCTTAGACTTTAACACTGAAAGGAATATGTTTAGATTGTACTTTTCCTCTCACTTTTCCCTACTGACACCACCCATACCTTATGCATAAAAAAATAACGTTGTGCCAATAGGGTAGAAAATGAGCACAAGCAGCCTAGGATGGACTGCACCTGCCTACAAAGGAAAGAAGTATGGATCACGATCTTTGCTTCCAGGACAAAAATGCAAAGGCTCACATATTGCTAATGAAGAATGGAGGATTAGTAAAATACTACAAACTTCACATCCTATGGGATTAGCACAGAACAAAGTCTATAGATTATAAAGTAGGCCATTGAGAGATCCTAATATACAGTTGTGGGAAAGCACCACTGAACAGGGACATTTTTATGCTGGAGAGACTTGATATTTTCCATACTACAGCTGAGATAAAAGTCTGTGAAGTAGTAAACTAAGAAATAGGTGGGTTGTAATTGCAGGATGTCCTGAGTCACCAGGGTAAATGGTCATAACATAAATAAATGTAGGTAAGCTCAAGTGTTCAAGATCAAAGAACAGCTGTCAGTTATATTTACACAATGGAAGAATTTGCTTTGAAAAACAGGGCTCAGGAAAGGATTTAGGGGTCGTTATAGATAATCGCCTCACTGTAATCTGTCTGGGCAATGCTATAGCAAAAAGGACTAATGAGATTCTTGAATTAAAAAAAAAAAAAAAAAGAGAGAGACAAATAATGATAGATTCTACCATCTCTGCATATTGCTGCCAAGACCCCTACCAGGTTACTGAATCTTGTTCTGGTGTCTGCATTTTAAAGAGGATTTGAAGATGTTGGACTGAGTTCAAGTGAGTGTCACAAATGAATTCTCTGGCTTTAACAAATAAGCCCAAGCCTTCTGACATGACGGTTAAGGAGCTCAACATATGCAGCTCATTGAAGAGAAAGTGTAGACAGTGTTACATACACAGTCATCACACTGTGCACATAATTGCACTCTGGGAAGATGGAAATGAGGAGCTTTCCAAACCAAACGAGAAACATCCAGTGAATAAAAGTTGAAGGTGGACAAAATCAACCTTGAAATAAGAGAAACAATTCCAGCAGCATTTAAAACAGGAGCACTAGCGAAACCATCATCACCTGCAGAGTTGTTTACATAGGGAGCTCTAAAAACACCTTCATGTATAT